AAAAAATATATATATATATATATATATTTTAATTTAGAGTTAGACATAATAGAAGACAACTTTTTTAGGTCATTTAATTAATTTTTTTTTTATTCTTTTAAAATTTTTGATAAAAAAAAAAAAATTAACTACCTGGGGAATACTGGGAAGGCTTAAGTTTTGGGCCTATCTTGCTGGGTCCTAAAGGGTATTGATTTTGGGTATTGAGTATTGACCTAAAAAAAAATTTAATTAACTTGAGAATGTTAGGAAGGCTTGAGTTTTGAGGCTATCTTGCTTGTGCCTTAAAGAGTATTGATTTTGAGTATTTTTTGAGAATTTTTAGTGGTGTCAATTTAGTAATTAGTTTTCGATTATTATTAGATCCCCTAATATTGTTGGTAAGCACAGCTGTAATCTTAGTTCTAACTCTTTAGAACTAAGGGATTATCCAATGCATTAACTTAATGTTGCTTAGCATTTGTCACATTAATCTTAACTCTTGTAAATTGTAACTATACATTTACCTACGTAAGAAATACTTCACAACGAAGTCTCTCTTTCTTCAAACTTCTTCATTCGATTGCGTGTTCTTTTATTCAATCTGTTCTGTTTGTTTGAGCCGTGGTTTGATTTTGTTTCTTTTTGAGATGGTAATGCTTATGGTGTTATTTTTGTAGTTAATGAATCCGTGTAGGATATATTGACTTTACTCAGAAATGTTTTAGAGTTTAAATTGAACAAAACTAACCGTTAATTGAGGAGAGGTCTCTTGAATATGACCTGTTCTCCTCCGTCAATTGTTGTTTGAGCCTATATTTTATTACTTTAGCAAAACATAATCCTTATATCCGCACCACCCATATCAGATATTTCATATCATTTAATTACTTTGCAATATATATGTATTTTTAAAAAGAAATTAAAGTTTTGTAGTACTCTATTAAACACCCTAAAAGTATGTGTTTCTATAAAGTGTTATGAGAAAAAACTAAAATATTCTTTATTCTTATCTTACAAATATGTTATTTTAGCATTTTTTTCATGATGCCTTATTCAATCAACACAGTTTTAGAGTGTTTAATTTTTCACTAAATTTTATATAGGTTCGGTAGATTAATATAACCTTGTATTAAAACCAGTACAAATGTACACAATATAAATTACAACCTCTCACACTACAAAAGTCAAACTTATAACCTTAATATTGTTTGGTCTTAGCTTCTTTGTCCTCAACAACTTGATTTAAGGGATCCTCTGGGGACTTCCAACTGATTGTTAAGTACTTAAACTTTCTTGCTAAAAATTTTAAATTTAAATCTTAAAATGAATTAATATGAGTTCTTGAATGAAAAAATTATTCTCCTATAATATAATCTATCATTACCAACAAACAACTTGATCACTCGAGGTCTCATTGGGGGCAAAACATATTCTTTGCCTCACTACCCATAGTAATTTATTCCTTACTTTATTCTTTTAGGAAAGCAAATAATTTAAAGAAGTATAAAATGCAGGCAAAAAAAAAAAAGTATAAAATGCAAAAAGGGTAGTGCAACTCCTATCCATTCCGTTAGTTTTCTTTAATCAATTTCTCCTAATCAAATTGTCTTTCATCGTCCCTATTTGGATCTTGCAAAGCTATATATACATCTTGCATAATTACACACTTTGTTACACATTAATAATTTATGTTATTTATACTGTTAAAACTAATGATTTTTGTTACTTATGTCATTAAAAGTAAAATTGATGATTTCCATTATTTATACCGTTAAAACTTATGATTTTCGTTATCTATGCCATTAAAATTGATAATTTTCGTCAATGTGTAATAGAGTGTGTAATGAAAAAAACTGTATATATTAATGTCCTTTCTAAATAAATTTGCTGTAAAAACTTAACAGTTTTTTATTAGGAAAATATGTTTCTAATTATGTCTCAGGCTGCTAATAATGTAGGAGCAAGGTATTGAGAGGGTGATGTTATTGCCACACCCTCAATTACTAATACCACATCTTTTTATCTTAATTGACTATTATACTCTTTAATTTATTAAGAAACAAAAAAAATGTAAATTTTTAAGAAAGAATATGATATAAGGGTATAATAGATAATTACATTAAAAAGTGTGACATTAACCATTTAAGGTGTGGCAATAACCCTATCCGTATTGAGAGACCACGTAAATCTGTAAAATCTAAATTTTGTTAATCTGTAAACTTACAAAGATTTTGCACTAAATAAAAATTGATAGTATTTCAATTTCTTTAATAAGTTGCTAAAAGTAGTTTAATTCAATATTCTGCCAAAACCATAGCCCTTTGGACCGATAAAATGACAACAGTAATACCCCATAGTTGGCCCATCAGAAAATCTTATTAGATAGAATACAAAGCCCAAAATAATTGGGTCATCCACTTTTTTTTTGTTTTTTTGGTGGAAAGAGGAAATTCATAGATTAAACATAAAGATACAAAAGCATACCCAAGCAAGTTGGGTTAGGTTACAATATGGTCCCCATTAAGGAGAAAATGAACATCGAGAGTGAAGTTCCCACTCGAATCATCAAAGCTAGGATCATCATTTGTTCTAGCCAACGACTTATGAACAATAGCCCAATGGCATATAGCAGAAAATATATTGCATCCCGAGGAGAGAAGGCTTTATAGTTCTGGTTCCGTATTTTGCAGAAAATAATAAATGGAAATAAAGGTACATAATATAGAGCTCTTTTTTTTTTTTTTTTGACAAAGGCAATTGTTAAAAGTTAGTAATGTTAGAATTGTTAATAGGAGGTATTGAACCTAAATAAGGGTGCAATCTACTGATTGCCCTTTTGGGCAATAACAGCCATAATCGTGGTGGAAAAATGCGAAAAGAGATGAGAATTGAACCTCACACTTAAGATAAGATGCTTTTTAACCAATAATTAAATGAACATTTTGGTCACACGAGCTTCTTAATATAGCTTGTTTAGTTTAGAAGATACAGAGGAAATGGGAGAAAATAAAAGAATAGTTTGTCCAGTAATAGCACGTTTGGGAGATCGGACAAGTCATGGGATGGGATAAAAAATTAGTCCCATCTTAGTGTAGCCCACGTTTGGTGGTGCCATGGGATTGGATAAAATGTATCCTACATTTTGTCCTATCCAAACCTTATGTGATAAAAGCCATCCCACCTACCCCATGGGATTAGATGGGATGGGATGGGATGGGACTTCAAAATAAAATATCATTTTTACCCTCCCCACTCGCTCTCCCCCTCATCGTCTTCGTTCTCCCAACCTTTGTCTTGCTTGTCACGGTCGACCGGTTGTTGTAGCTGTAGGCTGTGGCCGTTGCAGAGTCCGCGCCTCCTCCGCAAGTAAAGCCCAGGCTGAAGCCTGGAAGTTATGTGATCCAGATGCCCAGAGATCAAATCCTCCGCGTTCCTCCGCCCGGGAACACCAAACGCCTCAAGCAAGTCTCCCAGCACAAGCCTGGCCGCAGTACCTGCCGTCGATGGTGCTACTGCTGCTTCTTCTTGTCCATCCTTCTCCTTTTCCTCCTTGCCGCGTTTGCCTCCGGCGTGCTTTACTTGGCATTCAGACCCAAATTACTTTGCTACAAAGACTGTAGTTTTGTATTTAAACTTTTCTCGTAATATCTATTGCAATCGATCTTCAGTTCCAGAATCAAAGAGAACGATATTTGGGCCACAGAATTTCGTGGATTTGCATGAAAATTCAGGTTTTGGAGATCAGAATTCATGGTTGTCGGGGGAGGTTGACTCGTCGTCGACAAACTGTCGAATTTAGTCTTCACTCTCTAACTCCGCCGCGAACGGCAATTTGGGTCACGTCCTCTATAACGATCTAGTTGAGATGATCCCTCCTGTTCAGTCTCTCATCATAATTCTCTCCCTCTCTGTGCTTAAATGGATTTGCATATAATTTGTAAATTCTTTTTCCAAATTTCTTGGCTTTTGTTTGGTCAGTGAGAAAATGGTAGTGGGGAATGTGAAAGGAATTAAATTGATTGGTTTAATTTCAAATGTTCCAAGGAAGGAAAACTGAAGATAAGTTCGATTAGCTTCTACTTTTCCTTTTCCAAAAAGAGAATTATTTTCTTGCTTGGGTAATTACGTTGGAGCAATTTGGCTTCCAAGAAACGTAGAAGTGAAAAGGGTAGGAATTGGCCTCAAATTACTTAGCTACAAAGATGGTAGTTTTTTATTCAAATTTTTTATAAATTATTTTGATAAATATGATTTATTTATATTTTTTTTATAATTTATGATTTTTAATGTATAATTTATTTGATTTATTTATGAATTTATATATTATATAAATATAATAGTTTTGGTAGTTAAAGAAGTTAATTATTTTTATAAATTAATATATTTTTATTTTTTAAAGATATTTTATCCAATA